CTTTGATTTGCAGGATAGTAATATTCTGTACAGGTTTGTGTGAGTGCATTCCATGATGTTCACATGACAATGCAATCACGTAATGACATATTTCTCAGAATTATCTCCATGGTTAAGTGATGCATGCCTATACATCTACATACTTGGAATCAACACATGGACAGTAGAGTTTACAATACAAACCATTTATAGTCACTCAAAACAAAAAGGCTTAGATACATTTAACAAAACATGTACAGAATTTGTACACCCAAAACTACGTAACACTGATGAAAAAAGGCAAAAGGCAATCGAAATAAATGGAGACAAACAGCTTGTTCATGAACTGGACAACTCAACACAGTAAATAAGTCAGTTCTCCCCAATTTGACATACAGGTGTAAGACAATTCCGATCATGCTTTCAGTAGTATTTTTTGCAACTATATTCTTTACTTTGTTTGAGTGTTCGTTTGAGTCAAAGTCTCACCTTGTCACCCAGACTGCAGATGGAGTGCAGTGGCCCCACCATGGCTCACCACAGCCTCTCCTGGGCTCAGGAGATCCTTCTGCCTCAGCCTCCTGAGTAGCTGGCACTACAGGCGCACACCACCACACCCAGCTACTTTTTTTATTTTTTGTAGAGACGAGGTCTCACTATGCTGCCTAGGTCTTGAACTCCTAGTCTCAAGCGATCCTCCTACCTCAGCCTCCCAAAGTTCTAGGATTACAGGCATGAGCCACCGTACCCAGCTAATCGTTTTTGCAACTACGTTCTAACATTTATAGCAAAAAAGCAAAGAGAAAAAAAATCTTGAAAAAGACTAAAGTTGAGGAAGTAGTTTATCCTATTTCAAGACTTACCCCCAATACAGTTTAACTATATGTTACTGGCAGAAGAGTAGATATACAGAGCAATGGAACAGAACAGAGAATCCAGAAAGACGCCCACGCAGGTGTGGCCGACTGACCTTTGACAGAGGTACAGAAGCAGCTCAGTGGAGCCAAGATCACCTTTCAACAGCAAGGCTGGCGTGACATCCACAATCTAACAACCAACCCCAGGCTGATCCCTCACGTCCTGTAACTCAATCTTAAATCAAAATGGGTCAGACTAAATGCCAAACAATAAACCATAAAACTTCCAAACAAAACTTGAGGGAAAATCTTTGGGATTTAGAGCTATTCAAGGAGTTCTTAGACCCATAAAAGAAATAACTGATAAGCTGGGCTTCATCAAAATGCAAAGCGTTTGCTATACAAAAGACCCTGTTCAAAGGATGAAAAGACATGCTACAAACTGGGGGGAAATATGTGCAAACCACATATCCCAAAAAGGACTAGTGCCTAGAATATACCCGTAAAAAGGCAGGCAATCCAATTAGAACATGGACAAAGACATGAAGAGATGCTTCACCGAAGAAAACAAAGCAGATGACAAATAAGCACATGCAAGGATGTTCAACATCCTTAGCCATCAGGGAAAGGTAAGTCAAAGCCTCAAGGTGTGACTACACATCTACCAAATGGCAAAGATAACAGTGACAAGAGCAAATGCTGGTGGGGATGCGGAGAAGCAGGACCACCCATCACAGCCAGTTGGAATGGAGTTTTGGAAATTTCTTTAAAAACTAAACATGCAGCCCCCAAACGACCCAGCAATTAATTGCACAACCGGGCATTTGTCTTAGAGAAAGGAAGACTTATATTCACACAGCCACATGTACGTTGAACATTCACAGCAGCTTTACTGGTAACACCCAAAAGTTGGAAGCAACCCAGATGTCCCTCAATAGGTGAGTGGTGAAACCAATCCAGAGACATACCGCGGATACTACTCACTGATGAAAAGGAACACACTACCAGTACATGCAATAATTGGGCTGACGATCCAAAGAGCTGACCGGAGTGGAAAGGTCAGCCTCTCAAGGTTACAGACATATGATTCCATTCAGTAATTTTGAAATAGCAGAACTACAGACGTGGAGAACTTAACAATGGTTGCCAAGAGTTACGGAGTGATGGGGGTGGAAGAAAGGAGGTTTGGCAATAAAAGGGCAGCAAGAGGGATCCCTGGTGATGGAAATGTTCTGTACCTGTTTACACTGACACACAAATGGATGAGGGAGGCCCCTCAAAAAAACGGCTTTTATAAAAAGCTGCGTATTTATTCTAAAGTATTAAACTTCAGTCGCCTTCAAAGTACTCTCCACTTAACGCAAGATACCCATCGAGACGCTTTCCACAGCTCAAAACAGTTTTGAACTCATCAATTTGTATGCCTTTTAGTGCTTCTGCTGTTTCTGGTTTCACCTCTTCCACATCAGCAGAAGGTTTCCCTCTAAGGTCTTCTTTCATCCGGGAAAACAAGAAAAAGTACTTGGGGTGAGATGGGGTGAATGGGGGGACATGGGGATCACGCTGCTTGGGTCAAAAACTGCGGAACATTCAGCCCAGCGTGGGCAGGTTCGTGGTCGTGGTGGAACACCCAGTCGGCCGCTGGCCACATCTGATCCACAAATCATGATGCAACCCTCTCAAAACTTCCAGGTAAAAACTATGTTTGACCAATTGATCTAGAGGAACAAACTGAAAGTAAACCACAAGGGGCCCATCCTCCAGAAGACAATTCTGGGTGTTTTGGGGTCTCCCCTTATATACATTTATGGGGCACAAAGTGATGTCCCCACACACGCATACACTGTGGAATGATCAGATCTGACTGGTTAACATATTCATCATCTCACATCCTTGTTTCTTTGTGGTGAAAACATTTAAGGTCCATTCTTTTAGCTGCAGTAAAATACACCGTGCATTATTACTGCGACAGTCACCGTGCTGGGCAACAGATCACCACGCCACCTCCTCCTAACTGAAAGCCTCTGACCAACTTCCCCCCGCTCCCCCCAGCCTCTGGAAAACAGTCTACCCTCTATTTCTGAGTCTGACTTTTTAGACTCCATGTGTGAGTGAGCTCATGCAGCATGTGTCTCTCGGTCCTGGTTTGTTTCACAAAGCCTGTCTGCTGCCAGCTCCGCTTGCCATACCGTGAACTACAGTTTTGACAGATGCTACCATCGGGGGAAACTAGGTGAAGGGCACAGGACTGTGCTACATGATTTTTTACAAGTGCATGTGAATCTATAAGCATATTAAAAGTTTAAGAAAAAAAGCAAATGAGTATCTGAAGTCACAGTCCTGCCTTTCACTGTAGCATGATTCTGAATATAAAAAAATGGGGAAAAAAAGTGAAGCACACAAGACTTACACAGTCAACCTTAAAGACAGTATGAATGGAATCATGAAGCAGAAATACTGTGGTCCTGTGGGACTGTATGATGTAGCAAACAGACAAGACTCTGAAGAGACACATCTGCATCTTCCAAATAACTAACAGGTATCATGAGAAATTAACGACAGAAGTTTTCAGAGAGGGCAAAGATAATATAGTTACTTTAAGAAGTAGCTAGCACGACATCTGAATTAAAGTGTAAACTGCAGAAGCTCAAAAAAATAAGATTTGCCCAAAAAAGCGGAAATCAGTGAAAAGAAAACTACTGTTACAGACAGAAGTGTAACACAGTGCAACAGGGTATCTGGGATAGAGAAATGTCTCTTTGAAACGGTACTTCCAAGGAAGCCACGTAAAAGTCAAGAGCTAGAACGGCAAAGGGCCTTTTTGAATGAGGAGCCAGGGGCTGCATCAGGGACGAAGGAGCCTTAGTCATGCCCTGCGCGGTAAGCCCTGGCAGCCAGAGACTCCCTGTACGGTCTATGAGGATGCAGAGTTGTGACTGACGACCCTCGCTCCAAACCGTCTGTGAAAATCCCTGGTGAAGGCAAGTGGCGACTTGCAAAACCTGTACTGTAAGACTGCAAAACTTGACCCAGAAGGACATACAAGAGTGGCCACCCTGCCAGGAGGGTTGGAAGAGGACCACGGGGTCCGAGCACTCTGCCATGCTCCAAAGTCTTCAACTTCACAATCAACACACAAGTAACAGGACATTCCCCATCAGTTCCAGCAGGCAGTACATGGACACTCTGCCACACAGTACTTTTCTGTTCCTTAAATTTAAAAACAGAACACAAAGAAAAAGAGCTGGGCTGAGAGACAGAACAGAAAAAGGAATCTTCCTCTTATACTTTACTGGCTTTATTTTAAGCAGCCTCAGCCAATCCAGCCCACACAAATGAAACTTTCCAAAGAACCATTTACCAAACATTTGAAAATGCAGATTTGTGTTTTTTCATTTATTCTTAAAAATTGTTAGTCGTGTAATATGTGAAATGGATTTATGGGAAGAAAAACCTCATTTTATAACTGTATTCAAAAAACTAAGAGTACAAAATCTTGAAGACTTCATCCAGTTACTTTTGATACATTTTTTAGGAAGCAATTACTCAGTAGACTGGGCATATCTTACCCAAGACTGATGAAGAATCATTTAATATAATAATAAATTTACAAGTATGGACATATTATTAAAATGTGACTTTTAATCTTACTGATTTCCAAAATGCATATTTCCTAATGATTCTTGCTGGATCAATTCTGTCCCCAACTGCTAGCATATTCATCTAGTCCTCATACATCAAGTTTTAGAAATTATGCTTTAAATCCCAATTTTATAAGCAGGTTCGTCGAATGGATCAAAATTTTCTACTGCCTGTTTTCTGTACTTTGTGAGAGTCTCCATATTTTGAGACTTGAACATAAGAAAAAAAGCTGTTTATAGTATGAGAAAATAAACAAAGTAAGGCCTTGGGAATGTATCATCAGAGCACAGGGTTCATTAAGCAGAGGCAGAAAAGACTGGGCCAGGAGCAAAAGAGAACACCAAGACTAGCAGACAGGCTACAGCCCACAGACGAGAGACTCGACTGGAATGCACCCAAGAAACTGACAAAGGCTGGGGAAAATGAGGCTGCCAAAACATCCCCAGACAAGAGAATCCCTCTCGGCTCCTTTGGAGTCAAGGACACACACACACCACAAGAAGCACAAACATGAAGTCATACCTTTCAGGCCTAAAGTCTGCAACTGAAACAGTTTTCCCAGCTCAAAAGGTAGAACTCGTAACAGGTTGTTATTTAAATGGAGCTCCCTGTTGATGAAGTCAGAAAACACATTAACCTTTGACTGTTAAACTCCGCTGTATAATTTCTAGGAACATACGTGCCTAAGAATGATAAAATGTTATATGATATTCCAATGTTTAGTACAGTATTTCTTGAACTACATGTGCTCAAAAAAAAAGGAAAATGCCACAGACCAATACTTTTATAAAATACAGGAAAAAAAACAAGCTACTAGAAAAATGAGACAAGGAAAAAAAAGATAAAACATAAGCCCCAATAATTTTTAAAAAGCACTGGAGTCAAGAGACATGTACAAATATTCTCAAGGGCTACATCATCTCATGCAGACCGACAGCACCGGGTTGTCCCTCCAGCGCCAGTCCACAGAGCACCCCGGGCAGCACTGTTCTATCACACAGGGTCACTCCATGTATTAAGAACATTGAAACGATAAAGCCTAACATGTGAACTGTTAAGAGAACTAAAATGATCACACAGTAACAACTCAAAAGAGCTTATGACAGCTGCACAATTACGTTTATGATTCCTGTTTACTAAAGTTCCACTTCAGAAATAACAGCAGCTGCATCAATACTCAGGATTATCAATAATCTGTTTTGGATAGATATTCATTAATACAAATGTCAAAGGAATCTTCAATAGGGGAAAAACTAGAGAGCCAACACTGAGACACGGGCAATTTCCTGGATTTTTATTTATCAATTTTTAGTTGTGAAGAAAATCTATTTCTATAATCCTGGGTTTGAAATGTAAATGAATCCTGGTTACTACTGAGGCCATAAATTGACGTGAGAAACTAGTTCTGAATAATTGGCTCCTGCTTATTTCCACATACAACACGCAGAAAAGGAAGTCCTTCAAGTATATTTGTGTCCGAGGATTAAATATGGTCCGGGTGGATACGGATTAAGCCTAGAAAAATGCCAAACGGCTAGACTGGCAGCAACAGAGAAACTTTCACAAATCCCTTACTCCTTTTTCCGACGTGGCAACTGGCGGAAGGCAGCAGAAAGGCCAGTGGACCCATGAAGAAAAGGCAAGTCATACGAAATGGACAAGACATTCCACTGGGATTAACACAGCAGTTAGAATCCAACTTTTTATTTAACTTGGGTAGATCTTATCTATCTTATAAAACAGAGGTAATAAGAAAAATAGTAATTGTCATTTGTTAAAATACAGCATGTGCCAGGTAGGGAGCTAGTGGCTTTTTACCCATTATCTCAAATATCCGTAAATCCTGGGTTAAGAAGCTTACCCGAGATCACACGGCTTGTAAAGGGCAAAGTTAAGATCCCAACCTGAACTCCATGTGGATTCCAAATTCTATACAACACACCAGAGTCCACCAAATGTAATACCTCATTCTAGCTTCTTTCACATCCAGACTTTACTGCTATCATACGTACAAGCCCTGAGATGGCAAAAAGGTTTCGCCAGTTGACAATGATTTCCTGGGCCCTGTGGTAAGGATGTATGGCGCCCAACTGTCTGTCTCAGGTGAGTATCTGGAATAACACAAGTGTCTTATACTTGTTGCACTTACTTTGTCCAAAAATTAGTGTTCGAGAGTAAAGTACGTTACACAAAACAGCAATAAAAAAAAAAGTCAGGTAATGAATGGCTCTACCTAATTTATTATTAGATGTCATTCAATTTTCCCAAAAAAACACTTTTCATAAAGGATATAGTTATGTTTACTTTTATTCAAATACCATTAACTGAATAGTGTTGTTTCCTAATGCAACAAATGCTATATTTTGCTCTGGGGGTATGTACTAAGCTGAATTTGCATACCTGAGTGATACCATGTTTCCGAGTTCTGCTGGTAAACTACGGATCTTATTAGAGGACAGGTCCAGATATACCAGATTGTGAAGCTTGGCAATGTCTGAAGGAATGCGGGACAGGGAATTGTCACTCAAATGCAAAGCTGTCAAGTGAGTTAGTGACCACAAAGATGAGCTTAAGCTTCTTACTTTTCCTGTAAGAGAAGAAAAAGCAGGGAAGGGTTATATGCTGTTCTCTACAACTTGGTTCAGGGTTAAATAAGATTTAGTTGTTTTGATGAATGACTTAAATTATTATCCAAAAACATGGGAAGGGGCTAACAGGGGAAATCTTACCTACTCTAGAAAAACTCACTGCTGTGATTAAGTTATACACTCACCACCTAGCAGATTAAAACAAATTCAGGCCAGGTGTCGTGGCTCACGTCTGTAATCCCAGCACTTTGGGAGGCCAAGGCAGGAGGAATGCTTGCGCCCAGGAGTTTGACACCAATCTGGGCAACAGAATGAGACCTCATCTCTACAAAAAATTGAAAAATTAACCGAGCATGGTAGTGCACACCGGTCATCCCAACTACTTGGAAGCTGAGGCGGGAGGTTCACCTAAGCCCAGGAGGTCGAGGCTGCAGTGAACTGCACTCCAGTCTGAGAGAGAGAGAGCAAGACTCTGACTCAAAACAAAAACAAAATACAAATTTAATACATCAATACTTACACTGCATCTTTACTTTTAGAAGCACAAAAGGAGTGTGTCCTTTAAATGGCACCAGATGTGAGAGGAAAAGAACGATCAACTTATAGTAGAGCCAAGTCTAATTTCTAAGCACCAAATGATTAAGCTGGTCTTAGGCAAAACGAAACACGACTCTAGTATCCCAGCGGCTGCTCACATCTGTAATCCAAGTGCCTTCCCTCTTAGCGCGGCAAGGTGCACATCAGTCTCTCATCTGCACTTCACAAAACAAGAATTGTGCATTCTGCCTAAGCACAGAAAGGAAAACAAAATACTCTCCACTTAGCTGAGTCCTTAGACTGGATTAGATCCTCCGGGTTCAGCCTCCCAGGGACCTGTGATTGCCAAGGCCACAACTAAATACAGGCATGTGACACCGCACTCAGCTAATTTTTTAATTTTTTTGTAGAGATGAGGTCTCGCTACGTTGTCCAGGCTGGTCTCAAGCTCCCGGGCTCAAGTGATCCTCTTGCCTCAGCCTCCCAAAGTGCTGGGATTACAGGTGTGAGCCACCACACTCTGCTGAAACTTCTACCTCTAATCAAGATGGAATAACAGGAACTAAATTTACTATCCCACCTGCAACAACTTTAATCTCAGATATATAAATGAATCAACAAATTTCAGAGATCAGACACCAACCAGGGCAGGAGAGTGATTCCTGAAAGATGGGAACAACCCAGTGGATGCTGTATTTGCCTCAGTTTACTTCCTAGACAGGATTTGCAGAAGGCGGCCCAAGTCAGGGGTGCCAGGTGGAGCCCAGTGACCTCCCATGGGCTCCAGAGACAGAGAAGGTCCAGGGAAGCCACAGAGACTCGAATTCAGGATGCAGAGTCCAGAGAGAAGAGAGGTGAGCAAAGAGGCCGGAGACTGGAAGATGGTCCCTGCATGCTGATCAGCACACACATGTGAGAAAAGCACCCAGGACTGCGAAAGCCACCCAGAATGAGTTCCTGTGCACCACAGGGAGAACAGCTTGTGGGTGCAGAGCTCCACTCTGGGATGACAAAATGTTCTCCCGTGGACTGCGTCAGATGCAGACAACTCTGTGAATATGCAGAAGCCACTACACGTACACTTGAAATGGGTGGACTGCATGGAGTGTGAATTGTATCTCAAGCTTTACAAAAAAGAGGGAGAAAGGCAGAAAACTGTCCACATTTGATGAACACTTACAGATACAAAAGTCTCGATGAACCCAAGCATAAGAAAATCCCATAAAATTTAGCAAAGAAAGAAAATTACATGAAGGCACATCTTAATCAAATGATTTAAAATAAATAGTTAAAAGAAAAATCTAAAAAGTAGCCAGGGGAAATATATTTTACACAGAGGAGCAAAGTAAAAACATCAGCAGACTTCTAGCTGTAAACAATGCACGAGAGAAGAAGGGGAGCAGCCTTTAATGTACTCAGAATAAAAGTCCTGGCACCCTAGCAGCTCAGCAAAAGTAATCTTTCAAAAACAAAGGCAAGTTACACACTTTTTCTGATACAGGTTAAACATTCCTGAGCTGAAATACTCCAAAATGTAAAACTTTGTGAGTGATGACATGAGATAGTGACACCTTTGCTTTCTGATGGTTCAATCCAACAAACTTTGTGACCAAAATTATTTTAAATATTGTATTAAATTACCTCCAAGGTATGTATATAAGGCATATGTAAAGCATAAATGAATTTCATGTTTAGACTTGGCACTCATCCTCAAGACATCATTATATTTATTTATATACGTGTGTGTATGCATATTTCCCAAAACCCAAAAACAGCTGAAATCCGAAACACTTCAGGTCTCACTTCAATTAAGGGATATGAAACCTGTATAGGGAAGCTGAAAGAATTCACTGCCAGCAGACCCACTCGACAGGAAATTAGAGAAGATTCCCTAGGCAGAGAAGAAACAGAATACCAGACGGAAATCTGCACTGAGAGAAAGGAATGAAGAGCATCAGAAGCAGTGACTATGTGGGGAAACATAAGAGAGACACTTTTCTTGTATTTTAAAGCTATTTTTAAAATAACTGACTAAAGCAAAATTAAAAAGAAAATACTGTGGGTTTTATGAGACATGCAGAAGTGACATGACAGAAGCATCAAGGACAGAAAGAAGAAACAAAAGCACACCGCTGCGTTCTTATCTGCATGTGAAGTGGTGTGGTATTACTTAGAAGTACACAGTAGTAAGTTAAACACTTCTACCATGAAACTCTAATTAATATAATAAAAAGCTATGGCCAAAAAAGTCAACAAAGGAGGTAACACGGATGATTTTTACGAGTCAATTATTTCAAAACAAAGCAGAAAAAAAGAAATAAATACTACAAAAATATAAACAGTATGAATAAAAGACAAATTGCAAACTGGTGAGTATAAATCCAACCATAAGAACAACCACACTAAAAATTAAATGGGTTAATCACGTCAAATAAAATGAATAGATTGTCAGTTTACATTTTCAAAAGATACCCAATCACACCTCAAATATAAAAACAAACAGGATATGAGTATGGAAAAAAAGTAAATCGCCGAGCTTGGTGGCTCAGCCTGTAATCCCAGCACTTTGGGAGGCCAAGGCGAGTGGATTGCCTGAGCCTGCAGGTTCAAGACCCACCCAGGCAACTTGGTGAGACCTCGTGTCTACAATAAATAAAAAATTAGCCGGGTGTGGTAGTGCACACCTGTGGTTCCAGTTACTTGGAAGGTTAAAGCAGAGCCCAGCAGGTCAACACTGGGGTGGCCATGAGCATGCCACTGTACTCCAGCCTGGGCAACAGAGTAAGACTCCAACTCAAAAAAAAAAGAAAAGAAAAAAATTATATCAGACAAAGCAGATTTCAGAGTAAAGTATACTCAGAGAGATAAATGTCATTTCACAATGATAAAGGGGTCAATTCATCAAGAGGATATAAATCCTAAATGTTCACGCAACTAATAACAAAGCATCAAAATACTTGCACAAAACCTGATAAAACTGCAAGAAGAAATCCAGTCAGAGATTTCAGAACCCCTCTCTCAATAACCAAGGACCAAAAAAAAAAGAGAGAATACAGAAGACTTAACACCATCCACAAACTAATACATATAGAACACTATACCCGATAACAGCATAGTTGTATGTTTTTTTCAAGGGCACAAGGAATATTTACCAACACAAACCATGCATTGGGCCATAAAACAAACCTCAAAAAAGTCAGAGATTAAAATAATGAGAAGTATGCTTTCTGACAAAAGTATGCTGGAATTAAATTAGAAATCAATAAAAATATCTGAAAAATTCTCAAATATTGGCAATTAAATAACGCTATGATCAGAAGCAATCAAAAAGGTAATTAAAAAGTATCTTGGCCAGGCTCGGTGGCTCAGCCTGTAATCCTGCGCCTTTGGGAGGCTGAGGTAAGTGGATTGGCTGAGCCCGTGGGTTCAAGACCCGCCTGGGAAGGCAAGACCTCATCTCTACAATAAATCAAAAAATCAGCTGGGCGTGGTGGCGCATGCCTGTAATTCTGGCTACTCAGAAGGCTGAGGCGGAAGGATCGCCGGAGCCCAGCAGGCCGAGGCTGTGGTGGCCGGGAGCGGCCACTGCACTCCAGTCTGGATGACAGAGTGAGACTCCAACTCAAAAAAAAAAAAAAGTATCTTGGAATTAAAATGAAAACATGTCAAACTTCATGAGTTGCAAATAACGCAGTATTTAGAAGGAAACTTATAATACTATATACCTATACTGGAAAAGAAGTCTCAAACCAGTGACCCTGGCTTCTTCCTTAACAGACTAGTAGAGAAGAAAAAATTAATGCCAAGTAAGTAGAAGAAAGAAGGTAAGTCTAAGAGCAAAGGCCAGCAGCATTTAACAGGGAAAACAGACTGGCCCAATGAACCAAAGCTGGTTCTCTGAGAAGGAGAATAAAACTGGCAAACCTCTAGTTAGGCTGGTGAGAAGAAAAAGAGAAAACACAAATTCCTACTCTGGAACAAAAGGTAAACTCACTACATATTCTACGCATGTTCAAAATACATGGGTCATAAAAAAAATCTGTTCACATGTTTACAGTGACTTTGTTCATGACTTCCAGAAATGGGAACAACCCAAATGTTCAACTAGGAAATGGAAGAACACACAATGATACACGCAGCTACCGGAATGCTACCGAACAATGACAGCTCGTCCACACAACCATACGAAATGCCAAAGGCGACAGCATTATCCCTCATACACAACTTTCTCACAAAGACAAAAATACAGACAGAAAAGGTCAGTGGCTGCCAGTGGCTGTGAGTGAAGGGGGCTGACTACAGTCTCTCAGGTGGGGGCAACAGAGCCACTTTCTTAAAAATAGGGATGACCAGGCTCAGTGGCTCAGCCTGTAATCCCAGCACTTTGGGCCTCTGAGGTGAGTGGATTGCCTGAGCCCGCGGGTACGAGACCAGTCCAGGCAACGTGACAAGCCCTCGTCTC